TGCCTTTGGCGGGAGGCAAAGCCAAAGCCAAAACCACGTCATACCGTACCTACCGATTTACGGATGACAAAGCAAAAAAGTGGCTGAGTGGCTAGGTCAATCGTCAATTCAGGTGGACACGTGTGGCTGAGCAAGTGCCCTTTTCTCTGGTGGGAGAACCTTGGAAGGTATTCTAGCGAATGAGAATTGATTTTCTCCGGGGTGTGCATGCGCAAGTGCGTGCAGTACTCTAAATCTAAACTTTCAAGGTTACTTCGCTACCGTTATCACTACCACCACCACTATCTTTACCTACTACTACTACTTACACTACTTACACTTACTATTTTGATTTGGACTTGCAAACTACAAATACAAAAGCTCCTCACACTAACATCCCACAACTTGTCGCAGACGACAACGACGGGCATGTTGTGCAGCACGTCTTCCGTCTGCAACAAGCTTTCGATAAAAAGTCTATCGATTACGATTTAAACATCACCGCTCCCGTCGAAGACCCCAACGATATCTGCCGTCGCTATACCTTACCGCGTCGATTCCGAGACAACTACCGCGTCCGTCTCGAGTTTCTCCAAGTCTTCAGTACCAACCGAACCTATAACCAGACTCTGCCCCGCTACCGCTTCAAGATGAGCGTGGTCTATGAAAGTCGGAGCTATCTCCCCTCCGACCCGTATCCCCCCAACCTAGGCGCAAGCGATCACGGTGACGATGGAGATGCCGTTTCTTCTTCCCGCTACTCGCCCAATCCCATGCAGGATCTTATTCATTTCAACCAGCTCCGCGACGACCCCACTCTGATACCCCCTTCTCCCGAGTCTCCCCATAACCTCCACCATCTCTTAGCCCCTCCGACCCCTCCGGAGGGCCTGGGCATCCTGCATCACCATGTTCGGCTCAAGTCGGAGGATCGAACTCCTCCGCGCATGAAGCCCATACCGAAGCCGGACCGCATAGCTCAGAAGAACAGGGACGGGAAGTATTGTTGTACTTGGCCAAACTGCACGGACGAGATCAGAGAGTTCACCCGAAAGTGTGAATGGAGGTTTGTCTTCCTCCCTACAATTCCTGGTAACACGAAGTAAACCAAGCAGCTGACTGAATCAAATGATCTATAGCAAGCACATGGACAAGCATGACCGCCCTTATAAATGCCCCGCCGGCGGTTGCGAGAAACTCCCGGGCTTCACCTACTCGGGCGGACTGTTGAGGCACGAGCGCGAAGTTCACGGGAAACACGGCGGACCAAAGAACCCCCTAAACTGCCCTCACGTCAACTGCAAGCGACATACGGGGAAGGGATTCTCACGACTGGAGAACCTGAACGAGCACCTAAGGAGGGTCCATACTGCCGATCTCCTGTCGTCGGTTATGATCGAAGAGCCCGACGACCTCACCAGCATGATTACTAGTCCCAGGATAGGCGAGAAGCGCAAGCCCGACGACGACCTCCGTGAGGAAGTCAAGCGCTTACAGAGCGAGAATCAGGAGCTGAGAAGCCAGGTCGAGGCACAGAAACGTCAGCAGATCGCCATGATGCAGCAGATGCAAGAGCTACGAGAAAGCCTACAGAGCATTGCGAACCACCCTGAGCAAATCCACCAGCCCCGATTTGAGAGTAGCTCCCCGCCCGCTGCCCCCGCTGCAGAGAATAGTGCACCGCAGGTCTCTCAATCTTTCTAATTTCTTTCAACTCATCAACTCTCCTCTCTACTATCCTCTCCTCTCTCCTCCCCTTTCCTTATTGTTTAATTTTGTCTTACCCCTTTGGTTTATTACTACAAATACCCCACTTCGCGAATTACATGCATTGGATGAGGAGTTTCGCGAGAAGGAAGTGTTTGGTTGGGATATGTATTTCCCCTTTTGGGTTGGTTGGCCGGCATGAGATGAGATATGACAATACTGGCGTTTTATTTCTTCTTTTCTTTTGCATAGAGAGTGCAATGATGCCGTTTACCTCCTTTTTTTCTTCGGCTCGTAAGGTTACCGGGATCCGGTTACCCTTGCTACAGAACGGCATGATATCACCAAATTCCCTTCCTCCCCAATAGACATATCAGAAAGAAAACGAGAAAAAAAAAGAAGGCAAGAAGGTTCCCTGTAAAACAATGGTGAAGGGTTGATTTTAACCCTCGATGGACGGGAAATTGCATTGGTTTGTTTTTGGTGGTATAATGACGGACAAACGGACGGGCGGGACGGAACGGAACGGAGCGGAAAGGTCTTATCTCCCATGCCCCCTATACACACATCCCATCCCTTATCTCATCTAGAAGGTTGTATGTTTTTATTTTTGTACTTTTACTATTACTATAGGCATTGTGTGTTTGTTTTCCCCTAGATTTTGCAGCGACATACGGCTGGGTTTTCTTTTCTTTCCTTTTTTTTACGTTATCAGACTGCTCACACGCTGTTTCATTAGTTTTTAACATTCTACTACATACAACCAATCCCCCCGAATACATAATAAAATGCGGAAAATAAATACCTAGATTCTGCATTAAAAAAATACATATATTTGTGTAATTTCATTTCGATCTGTTTCCTGCCGTGTGATGAATTGCTTCAGTTGATAGGCTTAACTCTGATTTGCATTTTCTTTTGTTAGGCAACAACATTAAACAGAATACCATTCGCCTCATACACCATATCCATATGCGTATGCATTCGGGTCCTTGTATCCGACGGCAACGACACCGCCACAGCCCTCTCTGGGATTTGCATTCGGGTACTACGTGTAAACGGCACTTGGGTAGCCCTATGTAGAAGGTAGTAAACGCCCTGGAGTCGTGATGTACAAGATTTAGTGGGGTATGAGGAGGTAGTCTTTATGTCAATACTAAGATTGAATAGCCTCAAAGGGAATCCAACCAATGACCTGTCACTCTCGGTAAGAAATTAGGTAATCATGGTGTTGTTGTCATTCCAATATTCAGGTGTTGCCCTGCATGGGGTGAGAACCTTACTGAGTACTTGCTTGCTTACAAATTACCCATCTACGATACGCTGGTTGCTATATGAAAACAGATTCTCTCTCTTTCTCCAATGTGTATTTTCTTTTTGGGAAGGAGTACGCGCGAAGTTGATATTAAGTACACATTATCTATACGACAGTACTCCGCATACAAAGTCACAGTTTGAGGCAGTTCATCTGCACAACAACCAGCCTAACCCAGCCATGTCCTTTCCTGGGACAACTCATACCGGCCATGCTCTTGAATTGTTCCATTGATAGGACACAGCTTCTAAATGAGGCTCAGTTACGACTATTAGAGAAGAATTTATAATAATAGGTAGGCGAAATAAGTCCCTTCCTTCTCCTCACAGGAACCTCAAATAAGCCTTGGGATCCCGAGGGCACCGAGGACCCGAGAATAGGACTTGACATACCAAACCTGCAATAAATCCCCCCGCAATGATGCATATAAGACAACATGACTCGGGCGACTGACAGTGAAGTTAGTATTACTTTTATCCACCTACCTAATCCCGTATATCACGAGCATGTAGGTCAACCGATGTGGGTATGTAGGCCAACGGCTGTAACCAACAACCAACGCCGGAAGTAAGGGATAACAACAAGTATGTGACATGTCTATTAACCTGGACTAGGGACACAAGCAAATAAATAAAAGAATATATACCTAGGTACACACCAACCCAATATCAAAAAAGGCTGAAGTACACACTTGTATGTAGCATTAGGTATTCTATGTTAAAAGCAACAATTTCACCATTAATAAAGATATGAATTAATTTAAATATGTAACCTAATTACTTATTAGCCTGCTAGAAGTATGTAAATTCTCCGATATATATATATTACTCTTCTGTACGACTTTCATATAAAGTCATTAACAACGTACGGCACTTATGGATGCGCAGCCTCTCTTGACGCTAACCTGACGCCTTCTCCCTTGATTGCCCGAGGACTCCGGCCCTTTGGATATGTATGGAGGTAGGCATCCTAGAGTAGATGGACACACACACACACACACACACACACACACATATATATATATATATATAGCCACCTACCTTTTTGCCGATCAGCCCTAAATATATAGCATATGCATGGTCCTCTCCAACCCAGACTGTCCCCCCAATCTAGCGAAGGGCGTTTCAATGCAACGCGATCGCGCCTTGTCTGCCGCATTGCATGCATGCAACCGAGCGGCGCAAGGCAGGGCACGGGAAAGTTTATGTAGCCTTGCAGTAAACACTACCTACCTATCCTGCCTTGCTCTTGCTTACCACCCTACCCAATCCCAGGTAACCAACGACGAACTACGCGGGGTAGGCAGGTGGTAGCGCACTTATGGAGGTGTAAGCAAAAACCCGAGAGAAACCAGGATCCCGCACATATGTGACTCGTTCACCTTGCCTGCCTCCCTACCTAGTTACATAGGTCGAGCAGGCAGTTTAAAAACTAGCGCATGGAAGTTCGGAACGGTAGATAGGGTGAGAAGAATTCTGGTCTCTACCGAAATATAAGAACCCCTAGGGGTGTTGGTAGATGATACTACCTTAAGCTACTATATATTAAGGGGTAGGCAAGAGAAAGAGTCATATAGAGCACGTGTCCGCAACGTGTGTGTGGGGGGAGGAGAATACCTACAGGTTGATCGGTTCGTGCCCGTACAAGTAGATTTGGGGCGAGGTAAAACTGGAGGTGGGCATTGCATTTTCATATGTAGCTAACCTAGACTAGAAAACTTACCTCCCTCATCTATATGTACTTACACTTACTGCGGATACAGATACTAATCTATACTATATTATATGTACTTACCCAGGTACCCCAACTCTCATGAAAAAAGGGGGGGAAAGGGGGGGCAAAGAGTGGATTAAAAGGGGCAGATTTCAGGCAGAAAAATGAAAACCAATGTGACTCAAAGATCAGTAGAAATACTACCTCGCAGCATATTCCAGCGAGGACAAAAAAATGTTAGCAGAGGCGAAAAAGAAAGACAAGTAGAATGAAAAAGAAAACCAATCTCCGAGTCGGGGAATCGAACCCCGGGCTTGACGGTGAGAGCGTCAAATGTTAGCCACTACACCAACTCGGATGTGGGGACTTGATTGGGTGAGTCAACGCTTGTCTCAGCTCTTGTACCTAGTCCATTCCACCCCTCCATCCCCCGCCTTGTCTGCCTAGCCTCGGGAGAGTGCATGTGGAATCTACGGGAATGAGTAACACGCATGTAGTACCCAGCTACCTCCGGTCCCTACCCGAAAAAAACTAGCGCGCCAAGAATCTTTTCTTTTTCCTTTTTCTTTTCTTCGAATTGATGACAGCACCCAACGGATCGGGGCGCACGACTAAAAAGTGGGGATGCGTGGGGGGGCAGTGGGAAGTGGGAGGGACAGGCAGAGGCAGCCGACCTATCGTAGGACAAAAGACTCGTGATTGGCTTGCCGGGGTCTGCGATTGCCTAGTTGGATAGGTTGAGGCTTACCTACGTACATCACACCCTAGTAAGTATGTAGTACTCAGGGAAAACGTCCGACTAAGCCTGATGCGATCCCGTGACCGGTGGGGAAACTGAGGGATTCGGGTCCTGGCACGTGTACGGTATGGGTTATATAGATAGGTGTTAGACGCAAGGCAGGAGATATGGAAACGGCGTTGGTAGGCAGAGATGAGTCAGTGTGACTCTTAGGGGGTAGGTTTTGCACTGCTGCGCTGGCTACTTGGGGCATGTACGGCCTGTCCTACAGGGCTTGGGTCGGAGTTCCCTTTTATGCTATCCCGGGAGTAAGTCAGACGCCGCGGTTGGTGCTTATTGGATATATCTACGGGATATCTTATGCTGAGGAAATCTGCACATGGCTTATATGCAGGTCACTTAGATCTAGGTCGAGATGAGTATACGATGCATGTAAGCAACCTGACAAAGAAGGTAAGCTGTCAATACCCGGGCCTGTCGGCGCTGCTAGTCGGTGAGGGTTTGGGTGGGTGCATTCATATAGGTTGCCTGGATGAGAACATCTTATCAGAGAAGGAAGGGAGTTATGACCCTGATTCTAACTTCTGCTACGTCGAGATAATATAATTCCTACATCTAAGTTTTAAAGATTCTTCGTCTGAGGTCTCTCAACCATCATTCGTCCTTTCTGGCTTTCTCCTGGGAATATAGTTCACCTTTTTCTCCCCCATCTTTCCCACTTAGGAGAGGAGTGAGAGGAAATGATGGCGTAAGAATGATCAAGCATGAGCAGGAATATCTTAATGAGAGAAATAACGTGTCTGTTAATGTTGAGTTTTAGAAAAGTAAACTTACTATTTAGGTAAAGTTCAGCAAAGGTAGTCAGTCATATTAGGGGGTATATTGCTTGCAAACACCTTGCTCCTGTACATATTTTAGACATGTTCTACACGTGATTACATGATAGTATTAACTCAAAATAATTAAGGTATCTTCCTACTTACCTACCTACAGGTGTCTAGGTTGGACCCTCAAGATGAAACTTCTACGGCACTAGTGTAGATAGTATCTTTCTAGTTCTTACACCAGAAAGTTTATTCTACAGTGTTGTACAACATCTGATAGCCGGAATCCATATTAGAGGTAGTAGATAAGAAAGAACCGATATATTTCTGTTTATGTATCAGGATAAGTCGCATGTAGTTGTAATTCTCGTTCCTCACACAACAACATCGTGATTACCTCAGTTCTTGCTTGGTCCCTGGTGACAAAACACCCAATAGCCAGACACCTAACCGGTTAAGCAACAACAACGAAGACGAACGCGGCGACAACGAAATCATTACTATTGCAGAAATGGAGGCCACTTGTGATACCCCAAGGCTCGCTATTGCCTCCTTCTTTGAAAGTCCTTTTACCACCGTCACCTGGGTGTTCATATCGGTATTTGTTTCCCTTGCAACGCTCATTGCATGGATTGGGGCCACTTTAGTGGCTCTAATTGTTATTGTCGCCATATCTATACCTCTCGCTGCCTTTCTCGTCTTAATGATCGTCATCCTTTTCGCCGCCGTGATGGTAGTAATTTCACCAATCCTCATGGCGCTGAGCTTTCTAGTTCCACTGATGGTGGTGTCAGTGTCGTGGGCGGGAGACGTAGCCGCTAGATACACCGGGAGATATTTTCCCGCTGTAGCGCAGGCGTGGCACCTGGATAGACTTTCGCAAATGCATGATTATATCATTCACGGATAGGCAAAGAACCTTGGAAAGGATTGGACTTGGGAACCCTAATTTACCCATAGAAAGAGGCGAGGATAAGGGGCAGAGGAGGGGAAGGGGGAAAAGAGGGAAGAGGATAAATGGCTTGGGATTTTTTTTGGCCTGAAATATTTGATACATGGTACAGGCCCTGACTATGCATGGGTTTTGTCAAGGGTTGGGTTGGAAATAAATGGAACAGATATTGATATTTTGTTAACTAAACGTGGTGTTTTGGTGTCAGAATGCCGGAGATATAATGAAGTCTTGTTTCTGTTCTTTTCTTTATCCCCAATTCTGAAATATCAATATTCTCAACGAACTGCTAGTACCTCTCCAGCGTCCTCATCTATCAGAACGTATCCTCCCCTCCATGTATACCCTCCTTATCTTTCCTATCCTTCTCCTTCTCTTCGTAACCCGGACATCCCCGACCACACGCCTGGTTTCTTGATTAAGGGCAATCGTAAGCTGTTGCTCACCGTGTTTGGCGTAGTGCTGGAAATTGTGGGCGGCCCGTCTAATGTGTACTATAATAGCGCCGTCGCGATTGAGCTTAACGCTGACCTTAGGGAAATGGTTTCTGTCGCGAGCTTTGGAAGCATTGTTGTGACGTTTAGGGGCATGGGTCGGGTCCTCACATTCGGCGACGAGCATGGAGATGCTTCTTCTCTTTCCGGCGACGGGACCCTGGTCGAGATTGAGCACGTACGATGTAATCAAGGCGATCTCAGCCCAAAGAACTACCAAATGCTCGCACACCCCCACAACGTTCTCATGTCCCTTGCATGTCTTGGGCAAGAGTTCGACTCGCTGCTGAGCTGCGGTGAAGACACCCACGGGGTGGTCGAGTCCAGGGGAAGTATTACGAGAGGCAGCCGCCGCTAATGGGTCTATATTTTCTCGCCCTTCCGCCTTTTCTTCTAGTTTGGCGTTTGGTTTTCCATTGGAGTTCTTTTTGCCTGTAGTTGATGAGGCTGACCTTATTCATAGTTCTTCAAGTTCCATTCTTTCATCTCTGCGGAATTCCCACTCCATACATATAAATGCACAGCATCCCAGGGCTATATATCCACATAATATTTTGAAAAGAAACCAGCCTGTGATCTTCATGGTTTCGTAGGGGTGAAATGCGGTATGGGGAGATTTATCACGACTCGTTGCTTTGATGAAGCGGAGAATTGATCCTTAAGTACGGCTGGCGAAGCTGGTTCTGGCTTGAGCTGATGCTAATACACAACACATACGAGAAGGTAAATAAACTTTTTGACCTAGTCACTGGAAAGCTGTTGTTTGAGGCAGCCAAGGTTTAGTTTGGTGTCCACCTTGGGGGTCTGTGTAATATTGTGATGATTGTGGACTTATTGATCGATTAAGGATGTAGAAGGAGGGAAGATCCCTCTGCTAAGGATGCTAAAGCCTAACGGTAGGTACACTATCTACATTTAGTGTGCCAGCTGGCGGGGACGGGCAGCTGACAAATATACGGGAATTGGGATGATGTAGGACGCTGGATATGAGCTAATTGCCCTTTGGGGCAATTAGCAGTTGCTTCTTGTCATCGTGGTGGTGCCCAGGTGGTGGTGGTGTTGTTGTAAGAACATTGGTGAGCTAGGTTACTGGTACCTAATACCTCTCTCTACTGTGCCCAACCCAAGTGTTACGCCCCAGCCTGGTTGGCTGGAGGGTAACTATATAATACAGAATTGGGGCACAATGACTAGGATCATTCAATTTTTTTGGGAAGTGTTATTTTTAAAAGATAATGGACAAGGACGAAAGCATATTTTGATTCTATGAGAGAAATATATATACATATATACTTTCTTCTCTTTGGCAATAATTTGTCTTTGTTCATAAAGAGAGTTACGAGGGTTAAGGAGATGATATTAAGATAAGGTAACTTATAACTTATGTTGTTGACTTTTATCCTCACTGAGAAGTATGATGGTTGGGTGTCATATAGATCGAAAGTAGCTGATAACTCAATCATCGATGATAGAAAAACCAATTGCTGCAATTATAGTAAGACTCCCCATTTGTCGATCTTCCTATCACGAATACAAAAAAAGGGGGAAAGGGATACTACACATTAAGCCCATATTTATGAATCACTCACATGTATGTTTGCCATCTGTAGAAGATAACAGGGAAGAAAAGAAGCGAAATACTCATAGCGTGTTCATCCATATCATTGTTCTCTAACTACCCCTCTGCGTCCTCTTTAACACGTAGTACAATATACATAACCAACCAGCCAACCTGCCCAGTTCTTGAGCCCCCGCTTAATCTCCTTAATGCACTCAAACCGCCTCCCAGATCTAGCAATCACCTTCCACCTGGGCAGAGGCCTTGGGACTCGAGGGTAAGACCTGAGTGTGGTAACACAAAATGTCGTCCTATCCACAATACTAGCATCAAGAGGACCACTACCTAGGAGAGTTGTAGTTGTAGTTTTACGTATAGCGATATCGCAATTACCTAACCTAAGCCCTTGTTAAGATCCTAAGGTGAGGTCATTATGTCCCCTTAATCCCGTCTAAGGTTCCTCAAATTACACGAAAACGAAAATAAAATCCTCATAGCATCGTCATCCATATCATCATTCTCCAACCATCCTTGCCATCTCTACTCTCTCCTACCCATTATCATCTAAGATATATGGGAGCTCCAGAGAACTGTTTTAATAATGACGGAGAGATAGTTTTATAACACTTAGGTTTGAACCTTTTTGCTAGTCATACGTCCCTAAACAGTGTGCACCTTGCTGGATACTTTCAAACCTAGATACGGTGTTCGAATCATATTACATCTTTATGGGGTAATTCTTGTGCATGTAGTAACTATAGTCTAGTATTAAAGGCAGATGTATATCGTTG